CACCGCTCCGACCCCGACGCCTCTGATATTTCCGACTCCGAGGCCTCCTCTTGTTTCTTCGAGTCCGACTCCGACGCCTGCTCGCATTTTTGCTCCGACGCCTGCTCGTATCTCTTCGACCTTCCGACTCCGACGCCTGTTCGTTCTCCGATCCTGCTATCTGAAATCCGACTCCAGCATCTGAGCGGGCTTCAACTTCTCGGCGCTCTGGCGCCACAGCCGGGCTCTCGTAGGGCCGCCCCCTCTGGGGCGACACACCGGCGCTTCGCCTCGCCTCGCTGGGGGGTCGATCTTCGCGGACCTCCACAGGTGGTGGATATGGATATATTCGAGCCCCCGGGGGCCAAACTATATCCAGATCCACCGCCCGCCGGGGCACCAGGACGTCGGTTCCCAGGCGGTGGATATGGACAAATCCCCGCCTCGCATGTGCAGCCCCGATCTGTAGGCTTGGCCTCGGCGGTCGGCAACGGCGCCAGTCTTTCGCTGCGGACGGGCCTGTCGCAGCTCGGTGCCCTCTCGGCGGGCTGGGCTCTCTCCCATTTTGCCGCCAGGGCCTGTAGCAGCTGGAGCCTCGCGGGCAACACAAACTTCTGCGTTGGGTTCTCGTTTTGAACACAGCACTGTGATCGCACACCTCCCGTCTCCCTCCTCCTCTCTTGCCCCCTCTTATCTGCCTGTTGCCCTGCCTCCTACCTCGCCATCCCTGGGGGGCTGCGAATTGCACAACTGTTGCCATTTTCGAGGGCTGCGGGGGGTTCCAGCGGAGTGAGGCCCCACGCAGACCTAACTTAGACCTCGCCGTCCCTAGGGGGCTGCGATCTGCCAAGCTGTCGCCACACTCGAGGGCTGCTGGGGGGTCAACGGAGTGAGGCCCCACACAGACCTAAATTAGACCTCGCTGTCCCTGGGGGGCTGCGATCTGCGAAGCTGTCGCCACTTTCGAGGGCTGCTGGGGGTCCAGCGGAGTGAGGCCCCACATAGACCTACATTAGACGCTGCCATCCTTGGGGGGGCTGGGATTTGCGAAGCTGTCGCCACTTTCGAGGGCTGCTGGGCGGTCCAGCAGAATGACGCCCCACGCAGGCCTACATTAGACCACGCCATCCCTGAGTGGCTGCGATCTGCGATACTCTCGCCACTTTCGAGGGCTGCTGGGGGGGCCCAGCGGAGTGACGTCCCGCGGGTCCCGAGGACCTGGCAGCGCGCCTGCGGGCGTTTAGCTCACGCGCTGCACGGTGCAGGAAGGCAGCGGGACACTTGATGGGCGAGGTCGGCTCGCTCTTTTTGTGGCGGATTTTCATCCGAGTCATCCTGCGGTGTTGGGTGGTCTTCGTTTTGGATCAGGAGGAGGAGGAAGAGGAGGAGGAGGGGGAGAAGGAGGAGACGAGGAAGAGGAGGAGTAAGAGGAGGAGGAGGGAGGAGGAGGGATGAGGAGGAGGAGGAACAGGAGGAGGAGGAGGAGGAGGAGGAGGAGGAGGAGGAGGATCATGAAGAGGAGGAAGAGGAGGAAGAGAAGGTGGAGGGGGGAGGGCGGCGTTATGATGATGATGATGATGATGATGATGATGATGATGATGATGATGATGATGATGATGATGATGATGATGATGATGATGATGATGATGATGATGCTGCTGATGCTGATGCTGATGCTGATGCTGATGCTGATGATGATGATGATGATGATGATGATGATGATGATGAGGAGGGAGGAGGAGGAGGAGGAGGAGGAGGAGGAGGAGGAGGAGGAGAGGAGGAAGAGGAGGAGGAGAGGAGGAGGAGGAGGAGGAGGAGGAGGAGGAGGGAGGAGGACGATGAGGAGGACGAGGAGGACGAGGAGGAGGAGGAAGAGGAGGAGGAGGAGGAGGAGGAGGAGGGAGGAGGAGGAGAAGCAGGAGGAGGACGAGGACGAGGAGGACGAGGAGAACGAGGAGGAAGAAGAGGAGGAGGAGTGGGAGGAAGAGGAGGAAGAGGAGGACAAGAAGGAGGAGGAGGAGGAGGAGGAGGAGGAGGAGGAGGAGGAGGAGGAGGAGGAGGAGGAGGAGACGGCAAATCGCCCTTTGGGGCGCTCGTGGGTTGCTCTTGGGCGCTCTTGGGGCCGTCCTGGGGCTCTCTTTGGCCCTGTTGCGGCCCCCTTGAGGCTCTCTTGGTGCCTGGAGGGTCTCGTGAGGCCACCTTGCCATCTTGGAGGCTATCGATCAAAGGAGGGGGGTCCTAACGTTTGGTCCACTTGGGGCCCCCGTCTTGGGGGCCTCTTGGGGCTCTCTTGGGGCTCTCTTGGTCAATTTTGGAGCCATCTTGAGGCCTCAAAAGCGCGTCGGATGCGAAAAGGCGAGAAGGCACACGTCATTCATGTTCAGTTTTGTTTTGTTGTTTTTGCTGGTTTTGGCCTCTCGGGGGAGTCCCGATGGGGCTCCGGGAGCACTCGGAACCGTCTTGTGGCCCTCGCCTGGGCTTTCGGAGGTGTATCTGAAGCTACCTCGAACCAGCTTCGGCTGCCTTGAGCCGCCTTGGAGGCCATCTTGGAACATCGGCGGCTCTAATTTTTGGAACCATCTTGAGCGAAAAAGGGCACTCTGCCACATCGCGGCCTGCCCCCTCAACAACCAGGAAATGGAAGGGGAGGTTACCCCTCCCCGAAGGAAAGAGGGTTTTGGGAGAGGAAAGAAAAGGATCGTCAGACCAGCTTAGCGCAAAAGGGCTGGTCGGATCTGGCCTCTTGGGGTGTTCCTTGGGGGGTTCCGAGAGCATTTGGATCGCTCGGAAACAATTTAGAGCCATCTTCGGCTATCGGGAGCAATCTTTGGGGCCATCTTGGAGCATCGGAGGTCCTCTAGGAGCCACATTGGGCCATCTTTGGCGCTCTCACCCCTCGTGCCCCCCCCCCCCGACAAACCCAGGGAGGGGAGGGGGATGGTACCCCTCCCCGAATGTAAGACGTGTTTTGGAAGACAGAAAACAATTTTGTTCGACCACCTACGCCTGGAGGGTTGGTGGGGTTCCTTCTTGGCACAGCCAGTGTACACGTTGACAGCGGAGGTCGACCCAGACGGGCCAGAGTGAAACGATTCTGAACAGCAAGGAAGCACTCCTGAAGTCGTTGAAGACAACGTGGCGCAACCATACCGCACACGCCACCTGCCCGAAGACGGGGGGAAGCATGGCTCATTTCGATCCAATCGATTCGATTCGGATTCGATTCGAGATAGCCGATCCGATTCGATTATGATGTTCTGACGATCCGTTGCGGCTCGATGGTTTCATGGCGCTGGAGTGCATGCTGGCGCTGTCGATCCGATACGGTCACGACTCCGTGCCCATGCTACCCGATCCGACGCACGTTCGGATCCGACCCGATTTATCGATCCGATGCTGACTGCTCCTGGGAGGAGGAGGACGAGGAGGACGAGGAGGAGGAGGAGGAGGAGGAGGCTGACGCCACGGGCGGCGCGCCCAGCGGCCTGCGCAAGAAGAGGAGGAGGAGGAGGAGGAGGAGGAGGAGGAGGAGGAGGAGGAGGGCCGAAGCGCGCGGGCGAAGGAGTGCGGGAGGGCCTCGCGGCCGGCGAGGCCTGTGGTGCACAGGTACCCGATTTATCGATCCGATGCTGACTGCTCCTGGGAGGAGGAGGACGAGGAGGACGAGGAGGAGGAGGAGGAGGAGGAGGAGGAGGAGGAGGAGGAGGAGGCTGACGCCACGGGCGGCGCGCCCAGCGGCCTGCGCAAGAAGAGGAGGAGGAGGAGGAGAATGAGGAGGAGGAGGAGGAGGAGGGCCGAAGCGCGCGGGCGAAGGAGTGCGGGAGGGCCTCGCGGCCGGCGAGGCCTGTGGTGCACAGGTACCCGGGCTGGCGACGGCGGCGGCGAGGGCTTACCTGGCGCTACTGCAGGCGGACCCCGCGCCCGTGCCGGTGCCTCCGAGCGCAGAGCCCCCGCTTCGATTCTGGATTGTTCTTCCTCCAGTTTGAAGGTTCCACTGGAGTTTGGAGCTTCTGAGAGTTCGTCGTCATCTTCCTCATTCTTCCTCTCCTCCTCGTTCTCCTCTCTCTCCCTCCTTCTCTCCCATCTCCCTCCTCCTATTCCTCGTCCTCCCGCTCCTCGTTCTCTGACCTCACCTCCTCACCTCACCAAAACAGCTGGCGCGGCTCCGCATGGCTTGCACCCACAGCGCACCCCCATCTGAATTTCACCAGACGGGGAGTCACACAACAGTCGACGTGGTAAAGGAGGGAGGAGGGAAGAGAGGTAGAAATACGAGGAGGGGGAGAAGGACGTGGAGGAGGATAGGGAAGCATGAAGGTGAAAGGGTGGGGGAAGGGTGGAGGGTGGAGGGTGATAAGACTGACGAAGACGATGATGATGATGATGATGATGATGATGATGATGATGATGATGATGATGATGATGATGATGATGATGATGCTGATGCTGCTGACCATAATGTTGATAATGGCGACGACGACGATGATGACGACGATGATGATGAGGATGATGATGATGATGATGGTGGTGGTGGTGGTCATGACAATTATGACGATAGTGGTGGTGATCATGGCGGCGGTGATGATGCCGATGATGATGGTGACGATGGTGGTGGTGATGGTGATGATGATGGTAATGACGATGATGCTAGTAACTCTACTGCTGCTGATGATGCTGCTGGTGATGATGACGACGATGACGATGGCGAAGATCATGGTCATGCTTCTGATGCTGATGATGGAGGTGATGATGATAGCTGTGGCGATGATGGTGCATATGATGTTGCTTATGATGATGCTACTGCTGATGATGCTGATACTGATGCTCACGATTCTGATGATGACGATGATGACACTAATGCTGATGAGGATGCTGATGGTGATGGTGATGGTGATGATGACGATGATGCTTATGATGACGATGACGACGACTATGATAATATCCATGCTGGTGACGACGAGGATGATGATGCTGATGATGATGATGATGCTGATGCTGCTGCTGATGATGCTGATGTAGAT